CACTGCCCTGCAGCCAGGAGCTGCCTCTGGCTGAGGGGTGGGATGGCTCAGCCCAGCCAGGACCATGCTGTGAGACACCAGAGTGCCCCTGCTCAAATCCCAGGGCAGGGGGAAGACAGGGAGTCAGAGCAGAGAAGAGTGGGCAGGGCAGGTTAAGAGCAGGCAGGGCAGCAATGCAACAGCCTCTAACACAGCAGTTTCAGCCTCCCCACAGTGTACATCCCAGACCCTCTCCCTCCCACCCAGAAAGCCCTTATTAAAAGCAAATGGTCCCACACTCAGCAGAGCCCATAGCAGCCAGCCCCAGTGTACAGCCCACCCCGAGGCCTTGCCATCCCCCCTACCCCTTGCTGCCCCTTCCACCACCCACAGGGCACCCCTCCTGGGAACTGCTTTGGCAGTAGACTATTAACTTGAAATAAATAAATAAATTTGTATAAAAAGTCAGTGCTGGCAGAACGTATGTGGCAATGAATGCTTCCGGGAGATCATGACCCTCAGCCCCTCCAGGCTGACTCCTAACAGCTCCATCCTGGTCCCTGCCACCAGGGCTGGGGGTGGGCTGTGCACAGCAAGGAGCGTGGAGAGGACAAGGAGGGAGTAGACTGTGAAACAGAGAGGGCGGGAGGAAGAAGAATGGAAAGAAATAAAACCCCAGTGACATTTCAAAGCGTTTTGCCCGGAGGGGAACAAGGGAGGGTCCACAAGGACTCCAGTTCAGCCTGAAATCTGGTGCAAGGCTTATGACAAAAGGAAAACCCTTTAAATGAAGCTAGGCCAAGAAGGCTTTCTGCCCAAGCCTGTTTAGAGAAGGTCATGTTTATTAAAGTATAAGAAAAAAAACCCAACAAGCCATGTCTGGCAGCCCTGCCAGGCTGTGCAGCAAGTGTGGCCCCTGAGCAGCAGTGCCAGCCCTTGGCTGAGTCCTGGGGCTGGTGCCACAGCCTACAGCCTCAGCTTGGCCATGGTGGAGCGAAGCTGGAGTGTCCCCTCTGCCCATGAGCCAGGGTACTGGCACATCTTCTGCCACAGGTTCAGCTCCTCGCCCACGGAGTCCATCCAGTCCACAGCCTGCCCATTGCTCATGCCTGGGAGAAAGGATGTGGGCAGAAGTCACTGCCAGAGCAGCCTCCTGCAGTGCAGCAGCCCCAGGCAAGGCTGCTTGTCCCCAGGGTTGGATGATACCCCAGGGCTCCTCACCATTGCCCACTCCCAAACGGACACCCCCAAGGAAGTCATTGCTGGACAGTGGCTCTCGGTCCCAGACTGTCAGCTCCAGGCAGATGTGCTGCAGGTCCTCAGGGCTGATGCCGTTGTAGACAAACGTGTGGTTGTAATGAGGGTTCAGGGTCTTTTTCACCACAGGTGTCTTCCTCTTGGAGGCTTTGTTTTTGTGTGGCAGGAGGTAGCTGGGGGAAGCAGCCCCTTGGGTTAGCAGCACATGGGCAACTGCCTCCTGCCCTGGGGGTTGGGGCACATCAGGACACTCACTCACCCCTTGACAAAGCTGTCTGAAGTCCCCCCAGATTTGACAGCTGTGAGGTTTTTGGCTTCTTTGATCCAGACCTGGAGTTCACCGCCTTCCCCCGTTTTGCCTAAGAAAAACACAACACATCAAGAATTAATCAAATTTAATTTCCACCAACTTCTGGAAAGGCCCTGCTAAACAGCCTTCATCCCAAGGCAGGTGCAGAGCCCAGGTTAGCATCTCCTCTTGCCTTCTCCTGTACTGGCCCCATCTTCTGAGGTGAAGGCAGACAATTGCTTCACGTGGGGCCTAATGATCCAGCTGGTCTGGTCCCAGAGCAGCACTGGGACGGCTAGGCCAGCCTGAGGACAGTCAGGTCTGCCCCAACCTGGCCTTGCAGCCGTTGCAGAGAAGGCTGCAGTGACACCACCTAAAAAGTCCACCCAGACCCATCTTGCCTGGCCACAAGTAGGTCCTGCAAGGCTACACAGAGATCATGGAGCTTCAGCACTTACCTTTCCTGCCATTCCCAGATCCAGGGTGCTTGGCAGATGGGATGTACTTCATGGAGACAACCAGCTCCCCCTTGTACTGGTGGAGACCATCAGCATCTGCCCCAATCTGCAAAGAGGTGAGACTTACTAGACACTGCAGAGAGGCCACAGCAGACACGGTGATGGCCTGGCTCATGTGCAGCATCTTCCCAGGCTGGGACAAAGGGCTTGGCTTCTCCTAGTTGTGGCTGAGGTGGCACAAGTGCCTGTGAACCTTCCCCAGCATCACCAGGTCAGCCCAGCTCCTCTGGGATCTTATTTTGGCTCAACCACCTGAGGAAGAGGAGGGAAGCTAGGCTCAAGGCAGATCTGCCTTTTTTTTTTTTACTACAACAGCACTGGCATCTGCTTCTGGGGTCTTCATTTCTCCAAGGATTTGACTTGGTACAAGCCTTTTGACAGCTCTCAGCTGAGCTCTTCACACTCCTCTGCCCATTGAGGGCATCCCCTGGATAGGGCCAGGCAAGGGAGGCTGTGGGCAGCCGGGTTGGGGTGGCAGGGACACACCTTGCCGTGCAGGGGCAGGAACTCCTCCAGGTGACTCTCAAAGTTCCAGGCATCCAGTGGGACCTCCACCTCTCCCAGGAACGTGTTGCGGCCAAAGCGATCATGGTGCCACACTGAGAACTGCAACGTCCTCGCAAGCAAGAGGGACTTGTTGATCTCATACTGGGGAGAGAGACAGGAACACCACTGGTGAGCAGGCAGTGGCAGCCTTGGCATACTCCATCAGCCACAGCTCTCAAGCAAGAGAGGAGGAAGGTTTGAGGAGCAACAGATGCATGTAGGAGACTGCTTGTCTTTCCACACCTACTGAAACCTGGGAGTCCTGAAGCAGTGGTGCAGTAGCCTGTGCTTCTCCAGGCAGGTGATTCTCAGAGCCAGGACACATGGCATCCAGCCACCCTACCCTGTTCCACCACAAGTGGAGTTCTGCCAGCCCACTGAGCCTCAGGTGGTCAGAGCACAAGACCTCAGCAAACCTGGCTGTGGGAGCCTGAAAACCAAACCACAGCTCCCACTTCTTCCTGCCTTTTCCAGCTTTCAGGGTACAGTCTCTGGACACAGGTCCCCTGAAAAGCCCCCAGCTCAGGGTTTGGAGCCCACCCCTCCCCTGACTTGTTTCAGCAGCATTCCTGGGACCAAGTGCCTGCACCCCAGCCCATCCCCACTCACTTTCAGCAGCTCGTTGTACACAGGGTTGATGGTGTTCCGTTTGATGGTCGTCTTGCGTTTGCCTTGCCGGGATTTGTCGGGCAGGAGATAGGTCTTCACATACCTTAAGGGAGGAACAGGCAGCACTTCACCAAGGCCCTCCCACAATTAACCCCCCAGGGTAAACCCAGACCTCCTGCCTCACCAAGACCCCCCACTTACAGCTCCCATCTCTGGTGGGCATCCCACAATCCAGCTGGGCACCACCAGTGGTGCCACCAGCCATGCCCCCCCAGCTCTTACGGGTTAGAGCGCTTCTTGCCCTCGTCCCCATAGGCCAGCTGGCGACACTCCTTCACATGAATGAACAAGGTCTGTGTCTTCTGCTCATAGCTCAGGGAGAAGAGGATGCCCCCGGTGACTGCCACGCTGCCGAAGTCACCAGCCTCGCTGTAAATGCTGACCATACTCCCCAATGTGCTCTGGAAGACATGGCAGGACTGAGCTGGCACAGCAGCACTTGATGGTGCCTCTTCATCCTCAGCAAGGCTACTGCCCATGCATAGTCCCTCTCACCTCTCCATGGCTGAAGATGGCCACCAAATACCTCCCACCAGCCCTGCAGACTCTATTCTCTGCATTTCGATTCCATTCAAGGGGAGGAAGGCCCCATGTCCCAGGCTCTTCCTCCTGCACCCCAGGAGCTGCCCACCCTGCCTCCCTCCCACCCAACCCAGCAGCACTGCCCTTCTCCAGTGGAGCAGAGCACAGCTACACCGTGGGGACTCACCGAGGAAGTGCCACTGCGCATGCTGCCCCGGGCCACCCGCTGCCGATGGATCTCCACCAGGTTATCGATGTCCTCCTCCTCCTCCTCCTGCAGGGAGGGAGACAAGTCAGCTGTGTGGGGAGCAGCAGGGCACAGCTGGCCAGGCAGCCTGCTCCTCCACCTGGCAGCCATCTCTGTGGCATTCAAAGGTCTCACCAGCTCTGTGTTGAGGCCAGGGACAGACTTGCTCCTGTCCCCCAGATTACTGCCTTCCCCCACGAGGTCCTCAGGGCGCAGGTCGATCACTGACTTGGTGTAGTCTGCATGAGAGGTAGTGAGCAGGAAGCAGCGGCACAGCACAGGATTAGCAGAGCCCTGCTGCTCCCTCAAGCAAGGGGCTGCCCCAGGCTCTCTCATCCACACCAAGACCCTGCTGCAGCCCAGAAGGGTACAGCCACCCACCCAAACCCCCTGCACCAGCGCAGCTCTCACCCGCAGGCCTCACCACCCGCCGGGGGTTCTTCTTGAATATCATTTCATGCTCATCCACTAAAGCACTGCTGCGGATCCCCGTGGTGACATCCTGGGGAGGAAAGGTCCCTTCAGAGCAGGGCAGGGCTGAGCACCCCACAGCTCCCAGCCCTGTGCCCCAGGACAGGGCTGAGCCTGCTGGAGCAGCGTCACGCACCCGTCCGTCGGAGAACGTGTTTTTGGAGCGGAGAGGGAGGGTCAGGCTGGAGGCAGCAGGTCCTGCTGGTGGAGCAACCTGTTTTCCAGGGGCAGCTCTCTCCAGGGAGTTAGTCCTGTGGAGGACACAGAAAGGTCTCTCCCAGACCACAAGCAGAGCTGGGAAAGCAGGTGCTGACTGGGAATTGCCATCTCCCCACAAGCTCCCAAGAGTCACATGAGCTCCCTGTAGCACCCCAGCCTGAGAGCAGAGGACCTGCC